GAGTACTTAACAAACAACAAAATCCGGATATTTGAGCAGAAGGTACAAATTAATTAACGAAGTCTCGAACAGTAGTGAATTACAACAACAAAAATTATTTAATATTATTTTTATTATTTCGAGTATTATTAAATATCTTTCATCAGTGATGTTGCAAATAATTCTTGTATTTAATTTTTCGTAAATAATTTTTTGAGACTGCAAGTACCAAGAATCGAAGTTTCAAATTTGAAGCTTAGAGTCAGCGTTTATTAGCCAACTGACCCATAGCCTTGACTTGTATATTCACATAATTTTCTGGAATTTTGTTAATTTGTTGAAATGAAAAGTTAATTAATTTATTTTGAATTTAGTTTGTTTTGACAAATTTTATTCATATTTGATTTTTAATAAAATATTTTTCTCAACATTATTTAGCAAAGAATTTATATTTTTTAATAAATTTTTTTATTGCATATTTTAAACATTTTTAATATTTCTGTTATTTTCAATTACTTTTATTTATAGCTAAATAATTTTTATTTTATTTTATTTTTTTTTTATCCCACAAAAATGTCAAAAGCGCGTCGCACAAATTGGATGCTTACAACATTTTCAACCTTGGCAATAATGGCAGCCTCAAGGTGAGCTGGCACCACATAATTCAATAGTTAAGGGGAGAGAGTTGCCGCAAGTAAAAAACAAATCAATTTTTTTACACATTTTTTTACACTTTTATTTATTTATTCCCTTCAAGTGTACATATCGCATAGCAATGTTTGTTTACGCCTACTAAGTTCAGCGCCGCTCATGTGAGAACACTACTAAGCAGGATTAAAAAATAGGTATGAATCGACCTATTTCCACAATGAGAGCTGCTGTGTGCTTAAAATATTTACAACAAAATGTCACAAATAAATCAAAATAGAAAGGAGCAAGAAACAAGAACTAAAAACTGAAAACCAAAAACCAAAAACGGCTCGGTAAGCAAAAATAAAAGTTGCATTCAAGTGCAAAGAGAAGAAAAAGGAAAAAAATTAGTAAAATGAAAAATAAATAAGAATTGAGACGAAAAGTACGAGTATTAGAAAAAAATTGTTCAACCCACTTCGCTGCTTATACTTGCGTTGCTTAGTGGGAATGCAAGTTGCCGTCAAGTTGTGCAAAAACACAAAAAAAAAAAATTAAAGCATAATTCAAGGTTCAATCAAGTCGAAACCTTGCTAAAGCTTGTTCGAAAATAAAATCGGACTAAAAAGCCATAAAATACGCGCTTATACCAGTTTCTTTTTGGTTTTTTGGTTTTTCTTATTCTTGTTCTTTCTTTTTTTTTTTTAGTTGTATGGGAGGTCAAAGTTGTGGGCGTTTATGCTTAGTTGGTGAATTCATGTTGTAAGTATTAAAGGTGCAAATAATAAAATTGTTACCATTAAAGTAATTTTTTTTATGTAAGGCGAATGTCACTATTCCCTTCAGTTCGCACAGCGATCGATCGATAATACTGCTTTTGTGATTATGTGAAAATGTACAAGTAAATCTAACGAATTTATTCAAAAATAATAAAAACTAAATCCGAGTAAAATATAAAATGCCAGCGGAAAGTAATAAAAAAAATTCGCATTTACTATAAAAGCAACAGAATAAAATTAAAATTCAAAAACTTATTAAATCAAAAACTTTACACTTCACAGATATTTTATTTTAATAATAAAATTCAATGAGTTCGACTCTGACCCCTCCATTATTCCTCTCTTCAACCGCGGCTCTCGTGACTCCGGTCACAGAGTCTACCGCTACTATCCTGCTCTTATGCAATAACCCCACCCCCTTTACTAACAACCAATTTCCGTACTTTACACCCATGCTTTGTGGCTTAGATAAATATTGTCCGCTAGGTATAAAGCCTCTTGCTATAATCTCTCTCTTGATTACTGGATTGGGATTGTATCTACTGCAAGTGACTGCAATTTTCCATATTCATTCCTAAGAGGTGGTTTTAGAGGATTCATCTACTGCAAAAAACAAAAAAATAAAATTCAATAAATGTAAATACAATAAATTTTATTTTAATTTATTAATATAATGTAACTTATATTATTTATTTTTATTGGTCAGTTCTTTACATTTACTGGACAGCGGATATATTTCTATAATGCCTGTAATTAGCTTCATATTCAACTTCCTATATTATTCGCCATTATACTATTATTAATAAAAATTAAATTCACTTCATTGAATATTCAATAATTTAGCAGATTTTTTGTCTTTATCTATGAATAATAGTTTGGAAAACTGTCAATTAAGTATTTTGCTCAAAGCCCGAGTTTTCTGAAAACCCAAGCTGGATAGTAGCAGTATCAGCTTTACTCCCCAAAGCTGATTTTAATATAAATAAAAGCCTGTTGTGATACCACAGATAAGCCATTGTCTGAACACTAAACCTAAAGGAAAGCTTAAGCTTACAAGCATTTCCACAATTAGGCCGTGTGCGAGTTCGAGTAAATTGAAATTTCCTAGTGATTTTTTGAACTGCACTTATGTAAATATTTATTTAATTATTTATTGCATTTATTTATTATTTCTGGTTTAAAGTTTTCAAATTTAATTATTTATTTATTGAACATCTTATAAAATTTCCACAATAGTAACACCTAATTTACTTAATTTTTATCTAATTTACCCTACTCGAAATTCTGGTAAATACCAACATTCACTGCCATACCGATATAATTTACTATTTCCCTCAATTTACCATCAATTTACTCGAACT